TATATATATATCTTTCTCTCTTCTATTTCAAAATTGCCATACGAGTACCTACCAGAACTTTCTAAAGAATCAGTAAGTGACAAATTTCCAAGGCAGCGAGAAGACATACAAGACAACACCCTGATGATAGACATCTCCCACCTCCTCCCTCAGGGTGGCCCAGATATCCCATCGTTAACACACAGTTTGCAAGTGCAACATTTTCTCCACTCGTTAAAATCAAACAACAAACAGAACATCAGAACGTGACATGATTATGAAGGGTTGGGAGGGGTATTATTATAATCACTCATTCTGTGCGCTGCCTACCACCAACGTATCTACGAACAACAGGCACTCCTGAAAACAAACAACCAATGTGGCACATGTCATTAACTCGAGAACTCTAGGAATTCTTAAATGACAGCTTGTTAGGCCATGGCAGAAATTATGTTAATTGTATTTTTTGCTACACCAAAAATAATGTGAAATTATAAACTTATGAAATTCTTCGAGTTCATTTTACGACAAAGTGTTTAAAAAATAACTACAATACAATTAAGAGTTAGGTGCAAACAACGGGGGGATGGGAGAGGGGTTGCAAAAAAAATTCTTCTGACGCTACCAAAACCTCCTACCCATAGAAATTGCCAAGGGAATAGATATCAACACTCAGACGAAATATCGGAAGAACTTATCTAAAGGATTGCTACCATTTGTACAACGCAGGTTCCCACTTGGCAACACGCTGTATGCGCTTAACAGTCTATATTTTTACCTCAGCAGACCTGATAGCATTCAGAAACAATCGCAACTTTCTGGGAAGCATACAGTGCACGCTTCTATTTAACAGGTGTTAAAACACTAATGTACTGACAAAATCCCCAGCTGTCTATGGCCAGGTACCCATTCAAACCAGATTAAATGGAGGAAAATTCGTGTAACGGGCCTTTCCCATGGACATAATATATAACGTAAAGTCGAATTGGGTCTCGAGCCCACAAACCCATAACTTCTTGATTACGAGTCCGGTAAGCCTAACCACAAGTCTACCGACGCCACCATGTATAAAAGAGGAAGGAGAGAAAAAAAAAAAGAAAACAGGCTGCCATACCACGAAATGAAATAAATATTATGACAAAAACTTGTCTAAGAGAAGAGTATCAAATTATTTTTTAAATGGGAACAACATTTCAAGATGAAATATGTGCCATGAACTTATCTAAGACAGTAGCAAAGAAAAAAAAGACAACCAAACCGCGAGATAGAATCTAAAGTAGATTATCATGAGAAGAACTTACCTAGGGGCAGGGTAGCAAAGTACTGTCCATCCTGCTGGTTCTGGTTCCTCTGACTGACCGCTCCACCCAGGACTGGGGTACGCGAGTCCTAACGGAGGGAGGGGTGGAAGAAAAGAAAAGATTGAATAAATAAGTTTAAAAATATGTGGGTACGCGTTTTTGGTGGGGATGGGTGGGGATGGGTGGGGATGGGTGGGGTTGGAGATTTTAAAAAAAGAGGGAGGAAATGTTTGGGCTTAGAGAAGAGGTGCAGCTGAGTGGGGCGTGGGGCGGTAGATTGGGGGGGGGGGGCATGCATAGGAAAAAGACAGCACAAGTCAGTTATGTAACCATTGCGTTTATAAACTAACATACAGATGGATGATGCCAATCAACAAATAAATCAATCAGTTAACCATTCATAATCATCATTATCATCATCATCATCATCATCATCATCATCATCATCATCATCATCATCATCATCATCATCATCATCATCATTACAACTACCAGCAAGAGTCGATAAGAAGCAGCCACTACTGGTAATTTGTACTCAAGAAAAGCTGGATCATATTATCAACAAACAAACAAAAAATTAGAAAATAACATTTTTTCAATTATAAATTTTGGCAGTGCCTCGGTAGTTAGTTAGTAATAATAAATGAAAAGGTGGAGTGAAGTTGAAGATTTGATCATTTATGTGACCATTTAACTATTGCAAGTCAATCTGGGGGAACAAAGGTTAGAGGCATCAGAAGATAAACAGCAGTTTAGTTTTTGACATTATCAAGCAAACAGTTCTAACTCTGCTACTAACAAGAACTGACATCATGCATCTAGTAAACAGTTGAAAACAAGCAGACAGTATAACGTAACAACAAATCTAATTGTGATGTTTCTTTTTCGACCGGCAAATTGTAGTGTTTTTTTTTAAAAAAAATGAAATAAGCATAGAGTTAGTGTGCCCGACAGTTTGTCCTGCGTTTCTTGTAATCCCCCACCCCCTTTTTCTCCTTTGTTGAGCTTTCCCCTGGTTGGATAGTTCACAAACAAATATAAGAATTAGTAAACTTTTTGGGAGAATTGAAGAACTAAAAATCAACCCCAAGCCACCATGACTATTGGGTAGTGAAGGTCTTGTTTTCTCTGTAGAAATTTTTGAATTCTAAAATATGTTGGAAGAAGGCAGAAACTATATAGTATTTCTTAGATTAATATTATTGAT